ATATATATATATATATATATATATATATATATATATATATATTATAGAACAAATACAATAATGCAAGGGGTTAATGCTAATTACATTTTAGTAAAACATTTTTTGCTTTTGTACATTAAACTAATTTATTTAGTAAGATTTGTTAAAGGTGACTACATTTAGCAAAATTACAAGGATAGAATTATATCATTATTAATCAGTGGTGCAAAGTAACTGTGCCGGTTTGGTGTATTTGTATTTCACTTCTGTAATTCCATTTTACCCTACTTTGTACTTCTACTCCACTACATGGCAAATGTTGGCAAATATTGTAATTTTCTACTATCAGTTTCAGATTATTAATACAAAATATAATTAACAAATAAAATATGATGGAATATCATATTGTAGATTAGACATAGTAATATCAGTTTATACATTGAATAAATTTAGCGCCACATTTACCAGCTGCAATAGTGGTACACATTAATTTATGAATAATTATAATCAATCAATTTAATATTTTAGAATTGACCATTCTGCATAGTGAGTAGGCTACTTTTACTTTTGCCACTTTAAGTATATTTTGATGCTAATACTTTAGTACTTTTATACAAGTAGAATTTCTATACCGTGATATTACTCAGTACTTATTCTACTGCATTTATCGTTAATTAATTCAGATGTACTACTGTATAATCTGTGTCCAACAAAACCCGTGAATGTATAAAGAAAAAAAACTCACCCTCGAGAATACCGTTCGCTTCGGCGTGAATTATCGCGAGAACAACTTGCTTCAAGCTTCCCCATGAGCCTTTGCGATCCCTCTTTCTAGCCGGCGCCTGAGAATGGGTACGTGTTTTCATGCTCGGGTCGGAGGGAGAATCCTTGTCCATCTGATGTTTTATCGAAGGAATATTTCTTTAATGGTTTGCTATATTGTCGCTAAACGTTATTTGAAGAGATGTATCTTTAACTTAGCTGTCTACAGTCAGTTTGTTGTATTTTAATGAAGTAATCTGTTATGGATGTGTGAAATGCTCCAAGATGGCTGCACTCGTTGTCCATGGAGTTAGCTTCTGAAACTCTAGTTTAATAGAAAACGGCACAGTTTGATGTTTGTGAGGTATTATAATATGTAAGCCTGATCCCGCGTTGTTGTATTTCTGCCGTTCAAAAGTAGTTTAGTTCTGCGCCATGCTAGTGGAGAGGCAACGTTAATGTTAGCATTAGCTAGTTAGCAGGATGGTGGTGAACATGTCACGCTGCTAAACTGAAACTCTTAAAGTGAACCTGAGAATAATACTTACTTGAAAATGAAGTGTGGACACATTTAACATAAATTGTGTAAAAAATATAACTAACGTGAAGTTAACAAAGGCGCATCTTGGGTACACGAGTTGCATGTTATTTCTTAAAAGGCCATCGTGTGATAGTAAGGGCCCGACATTTCTGTTCTAACTTGTGTCTGGGCAGAGTTTAAATCACTACGTGCATCACATGGTCGTTCAGTAGAACCTCACACTGTATGGAATATTTTGTTTAAATTATCCTAAACCTAGTTCACATGATCTTATTCAATTAGCAGATATGCAGGCACATTAAGCTGAGAAGGGACCTTTGCTTGAGCGATATGATGAACCTCATGGAATCCATAATTACAATTGCGGACAACCTATACCTTGGAGAACTGATTGCTCAAGCATTGATCATAATTTTGTGCTGAGTTTTCCCGTGAGTTGTCCAATAATCTAACACCGGTTTCTTGCTCTTGTTTAATCATTTATTAAGGTATCTCAAGGGATAACTGGCATAAACGCCGCAAGACCGGCGGTAAACGCAAGCCCTACCACAAGAAAAGGAAGTATGAGCTTGGACGCCCTCCTGCAAACACAAAAGTATGTATATGCCAGTGTTTACTTGCTCTAAATTGATCTGATGTTGTTACGCGTGGGTGATGAAAAAACGACCTTAGGTATGTCTTTTTGAGCCGTTTTGGTTCAAAGTTCTAGACTTACCAATGTTAGGACTCGTCATAGTTACACTGACACGCTTCAATATATGTGCCATAGTACTGTTTTCCTTGAGCATCAGAATTCAATCTCTACATATGGATAACCTGAATCCATAAGCACACAAATTGCACCAACACTAAAATAGGATGTGTCGATTTATGTAGATTGGACCTCGTCGCATCCACACGGTGAGGGTCCGTGGTGGAAACAAGAAGTACCGTGCTCTGAGGCTGGATGTTGGTAACTTCTCATGGGGCTCTGAGTGTAAGTTTATTTCAAATGCTACTATAATTGCATGACACTGCTCTTTGATGTTATTCATGTCTTTTTATGATGATAACTTTTGTCCAGTTCTGCTACTGAATGAAAATGGTGATAACGAGACACCTGAGAAAGACCTGTCGCACTTTTAAAGATCTAGTTAATGTTATTTGTTAACCAAAATGGGGGAGAATTTGCTGTTGCTAATGGCTTTTGTTTGTGTACGCAGGCTGCACACGCAAGACCAGAATCATTGATGTTGTCTACAATGCCTCCAACAACGAGCTGGTCAGAACCAAGACCCTGGTGAAGAACTGCATCGTGCTCGTCGACAGCCTTCCCTACAGGCAGTGGTATGAGGCCCACTTTGCCACTCCGCTGGGACGCAAAAAGGGAGCTAAGCTGGTATGTGTAATAATGTTATGTCTCATACATCTTGTTTTTATTCGGTTGTGAGAAATATAACTGCGTCACACAACACGCGACCCTTGTGCCAATACATTGGAGAATGCATCTTTTTGTCCGATCTACACAAAGATGACACTTCCTCTCGTACTACTAGAGCTCAATGCTCAAGAGTCCAACTTTGTATGAAGTTTGTTCTTTGTGTAAAAGACACCTTTTTGTGGGTGATTACTAGTGGGCTCCTAATGTTTGAATACATTAACTTTTTTGATATGATATAATAGAAAAGGTTACAACCAGGGTCACCAGATTATATAGTGCTGTCTGACCTGGTGAATGTCTTTCCATGAAGATAACTTTGTCCAGTTCTGCTACTGAATGAAAGTGGTGATAATGATGACTCTGAGAAAGACCTGTTACCTACATGGTCATCTGCTGCCGTGTTAATACCCATTCTCTACACTGCAGTGTTACATTTATTGTAAATCAACTAGTGTTGCTCAGCAGGAGAAGTGTAAACTTAAATCCAATGAACTTTATTCCCCCATCTTCTATAGACCCCTGAGGAGGAAGAGGTCCTGAACAAGAAAAGGTCAAAGAGGACCCAGAAGAAGTACGATGAGCGTAAAAAGACAGCCAAGATCAGCACCCTCTTGGAGGAGCAGTTCCAGCAGGGAAAGCTGCTTGGTAAGTCTCAACATGGCTTCGTCTACCAGTAGTTAATTTCAAAGAAATGTCATTGGCTCTTTGGGGATTTTTTTCCTTAAATTTTTGCCTCCAGCTTTTGGTTGAATAATTCAAATTTCAGGTCAAATGCTAATTAATTTCATTAAGGTGCAAGACTCAAAAGCTTTTGTCACAAGTCTTGTAATATTTGTGAAAATATTTTGTTGGGGTTCACCATTTCAGATTTTGGGTGAACATTTAAATGCAATATTTCTCTTGTCCAGGGAAATGCATACTTTTTTTAGGGATGTGTAATTGTACTAATCTGATCCGGAGTCTGGGGTTGTTTACTTATTTAGACTGAAAATTCTACATGCAACCAGGGTCACAAAATAACTGTAAAAGGCATTTTCTTTACATGGCATCTGTTAAAAGTGCTGTCTGATGTGGTGCACGTCTTTCCATGAAGATAACTTTGTCCAGTTCTGCTACTGAATGAAAGTGATGATAATGATGACTCTGAGAAAGACCTGTTGCCTACATGGACATCTGCTGCAGCGTTAATTCACCGCACCTATCTGGGTGTTAAAGTTTAAGAAATTAAATGTAGAACTTGCCCCTTACATCTCTGTTGCCTTTAAGCTAGGCATTTGGCTGTTACGTGGCCGATAGATGACTGTACTGGAATGCCTCCATGTGTAGAGTTGAACAGCTGATGATACAGCAGGGCATTTATAGAATGGTGTCAGATTGGCTGTGAATGAAGCACTTTGTCACTTGTACTTGAATAAGATTAAAATAATCATCTTCAATTTTGCTTCTAGTTTTATAATCTGTCAATATTAACCGTACAGTGCCTTAAAATTTCTGCAACCTCAAAACTGACCTCGGCCTGAGATTATTTGATTGACGCACTATTTCCTCACTATGTTTTGATACGGTTTTTTCGCCTCATCACTGACTATATTCCGCTGTTCCCTCCTGCAGCTTGCATCGCCTCCAGACCCGGCCAGTGTGGCAGGGCAGACGGCTACATCCTGGAGGGAAAAGAGCTTGAGTTCTACCTGAGGAAGATCAAGGCCAAGAAAGGCAAATAGATGTACAGCTGTTTGATACTTCAATAAAATCCAAACACCCCAAACTGTCTGCTGCCACTGCTTTACTTTCTGTTTATTGGTGATGTGAAACTCTATTTCTACGCTTGGCCACATGGCAATAATGCAATGTGTTTTTAATCTAATTAGCCAGACTTGAGGAAGTGACACCTCATGAAAAATAAACATTTTAATATTCAGATTACCACTTGATGGTGACAAATGCCAAGAACCAATACATGCAATTACTGGTCTTTGTTAAATTCAGTATTACACAGATGGCTGTGGGGATAAACAGTCGGAGGCTGAGCCAGAAGAATGCAGGGTCACCTGTACTGGAAGAATAAGTACACATATCAGTTATGTCTACATCAGTGGGACATTTGAATTGATCGAATTTAGTTCAGTCAGAGGAATATCGAATTGCATTGCAAAGTAGGAAAGCTGTACAAAATTGCCATTTTAGTGGCAAGGACTATAAGTTGAATTTAAAAAAAAAAAATATATATATATAGCAATATAACATCTAGTCTAATGTATTGGAGTAAAGGTTAAAATAGTTTCTTGAATAGAAATACTGAAAAGTATATAGTACTTAGTTGCCAGTGGCTTAACAGCAGAATATACAGTATTTACTTCATACAAATAAGAGTACCTTAGTACTTATGCCTCAGAACACACACATTTAAATGGACAACACCTAACCAAAAAAATCTACACATGCATCTGTCTGTTAAAAATGATCTGATTCAGTTCATAAATGGTCTCCAGACTATAGAAAAATATGATGTACAGTGTTGCGTATCTTATTAATTCAAACGTCAGTAATAACTCAGATTATACATTTAGTTGATTATTAAAGCAATCTGCTAACTGTATTATAGTTTTGATACAGTTAGCTGATTCTGCCTTTTTTCTCAAGATATTTGCAGCTGCTTTCATGGAGAAGTTCTTGAACTGGAGTGTCAACAAGAGTACTGTAAAACGTTACATGCTTATGTCGGATATAAACCGCCATTTGAGAGTTGCTGCATATGACTACTTTGAACAAAAAGAGAACAAAGTTCATGGAATTGTTTGGTTTAATAAAAAGATGAATATTACCTGATCCTGTTGTAACATCCAACAACTAGCACATATTTCTCATGCCACCTAGGTCAAGACAGTGTTCCAGCCCTCATTCAATAGGCCTTAGTTTGGCCTACATTACATTACATTACAGTCATTTAGCAGACGCTTTTATCCAAAGCGACTACAAAAAGATGTCATCCCTGCACCACTCTATTGTTGAGCATGATGAGAGAGCAACAGGCGTACACCACTCTTCTGAATAGAGGAAACTAAAAAGATGAAAAGCATGGTTTCTCCACCTGAAATACTTGTTACAATTGAAAAACAAAAGGAAGGAAGTGCTTGTCTGTTCAAACACAAGAAACAGGCAAAGACAAACGTATAATACAAAGCACGTTCAACAAACCCCGGGTATCTTTACGTTGTATCTTAACTAACCCTAACGATCGTGATCCCCTGGACTGTCCTATAACGGTGGTTATCAACTGGTAAAGCAACCCAGGGCGCGTTCACATAAAGGTGACAGTGTTAGCAGCGTATGACCAATCACAAACATGGACAAGTGTACTGTCAGCCAAGTGGCATATCAGAATCAGAATCAGCTTTATTGGCCATGTATGCGTACACATACGAGGAATTTGACTCTGGTTTCTCCGTTGCTCTCAACGTACATACACAAATATCGACAAAAAACAAGGACGATAAAGTAGAACAGTAGAGGGTAAGCATAAACATTTAACTACTATGTACAACTATAAATATATATATGTACAAAAGTATATGTATGAACATAAAACACAACAACAATGACATTAAAATGGAGGTAATAGTGCAGTCCAACTGCTTAATTGTTCATCAGAGTGATAGCCAGCAGAAAGAAGCTGTTCTGGTGTCTGGTGGTCCAGGGTGGAGGGCAGGCTGGCACCAATGATTTTCTCTGCAGACCTGACAGTCCGCTGTAGTCTGTCCCTGTCCTGTTTGGGGGCCGATCCAAACCAGACAGTGATGGACGTGCAGGGAACAGACTGGATGATGGTGGAGTAAAACTGAATCAGCAGCTCCTGAGGGAGGTTGAACTTCCTGAGGTGGCGCAGGAAACTTATCCTGTGCTGGGCCTTTTTCGAGATGGTGTCGATGTTGGAGGCCCACTTTAGGTCCCGGGAGATTGTGGATCCCAGAAACCTGAAGGTCTCCACAGCACAGTGCTGTTGAGTATAGTGAGGGGGGGCTCCTCCTGAAGTCCACTGTCATCTCCACAGTTTTGAGCTTGTTCAGCTCCAGGTTGTTCTGACCACACCAGAGGACCACCTGTTCAGCCTCCCGTCTGTACACAGACTTGTCACCGTCCCTGATGAGGCCGATGACCGTTGTGTCGTTTGCAAACTTCAGGAGTTTAACAGATGGGTCCTCTGAGGTGCAGTCGTCAAAGGGAGAAGAACAGTGGGGAGAGCACACATCCCTGGGGGGGCGCCGGTGCTGATAGTCCGGGAGCTGGATGTGATTTTTCCCAGCCTCACCTGCTGCGTCTTGTCTGTCAGGAGGTTTGTGGTCCACTGAGAGGTGGAGTCTGGCACAGTGAGCTGGGAGAGTTTGGGTTGAAGTACTTCCATGATGATGGTGATGATGGTGATGCGTATGTCCCTGGGGAGTCACGGTGTTGCAGCATGTAGTGCAGACCTGTTTGCCAGGTAGGCAAACTGCAGGGGGCCTGTGATGTCCTTCAGGGGGGTCAACACCAGTCTCTCGAAACGATTTCATCTTTCATCTTCTCTACACTGACGCAGGGTTGTTGGCTGAAAACCTGTTTTCCAACTCTTCAGTGTAGCTGCTCTTTGCTACCCTGATCGCCTTTGTGAGTCCCAAAGCTGCACGGTGGACTGAGCTCTTGGTTAGCCTCACTAACACAGACCTGAGGTGTGATGTAAACACTGTCCAGAATTATACGGCCGAGAAGGAATGGAAGACGAAAAGTGTTGTGAGGTAACACAAAAGTATTGCGGGAAGAACAATGTGTTTTTAATCTAAATTAGCAGGGCTTGAGGACATGACACCCCCTGAAATGTAATATTCAGATCAACACTTGATGGTGAACAAAGCAAAGTTCACCAGCATGCAATAACTGATCTTTCTTAAATTCAATAGTACACAGATGGCTGTGGGGATAAACGGTCGGAGGCTGAGCCGGAAGACTGCAGGGTCACTTATACTGGAAGAAAAATACACTTGACAGATAATCAGTCGTTGAAGTATTTAGATCTTTAACTTAATAAAAGCAGTAAGCTCTAAGTTAGTTATACCATGACATTTTATAAAATACAGAAATGATCAGCATAGTGTACCAAAATATTTTATAAAATGTATAATCTTAGCTGGTTGGTGCTATTTAATTCAAATAGTCAGTCAATCAGTGGGTCATATCTGTGTGACAGTGGACGTATTACACCTGCAGTGGAACAAACTCAGGTCGTCAGCCATCGGGGCGACCGTGGATCACAGGGTAGAGAGGGTCTTCCGGTATCCGTGCGGTTGGCGGTACGATCCTTGGCTACTACGTCTCCCTGAGCAAGACACCAATTCCTTAAAATGCTCCCCGGGCGCTTCTCAATAGCAGCCCACTGGTCCCTGCATAGAGATGGGTCAAATGCAGAGAACTTTTTCAACACAAGTATTCTGTCTGTATCTAATATTTTAGTTATTGTGGATTTTTTACTTATTTAATATTCTTTACTGTTTTATTACTTATTCATAATACTTGTTTTGATCTTGTTTTTTACCATGTCCCTTGTTTGCACTATATCCACTATGCTGCTGTAATCCTGTACATTTCCCCACTGCGGGACTAATAAAGGAGTATCTTATTTTATGTTATTCTCCACCGTGTGGGAGGATGGTCTCCTATAGTTGGTGAGGTCCTGCAGGTCTCTCTACACTGATGCAGTGTCGTTGGCTGAAAACCTAATTTCCAACTTTTCAATGTAGCTCCAAAAGTATTGCGGTAGAACATGTATTGCGAGTGAACGCTAAACGTGGCAGGGAAAGGTCATAGACTGTGGGTAAGGTAATGGAAAAAGCACGACATGACCCTTCAAGGGCTCCGTTGCCTACATAGTCGTTACCTAAACTCTTTATACGTCTAATCTCTCACATATGCAATTGATTCTTGTGTAGAATAATTACTGCAAAACCGGTAAACAGACAGATAGTGTGACACACCCCATGAATAAAAGAAGTGTAAAATCACAATACATGTGTCAGTTTAACCACTTTTCAGTTAAATATATACATACTAGAATGCATTGCATATGTGAGAGACCTAAGAGAATAGATCAACATTTGGGGTGATTTATTGTATATAACGCTTTGTTAGGTAACGGTCATGTAAGGTGATGCTACTGGGGGAAAAGTCATTTTCCGGATGACGAGAACGACACGTGATCAATCCCGCTGCTGTGATTGGCTGAGAGGTGCATATACGCTATGTAGGACAAAGGTCTCGTTTATGTCTGTGTAGACGGCTGGTGCAGTAGCGACACTTAACAATGCTCTTAAATAAGGTACGTATCGTTAACATAGCTTCAACTCACCGCTATATTTTCATAGTTTTAGTTAATGAAAGGTTTTCGTCCCCCTGGCCTACATTTTTACATTACAGCTACATTTCTGGAGTCAATATAGTGAAGGCTTTGTTTCTAGGTCACAGCCGTTAGCTTTCCATAACATTGTGTTCACACCATCTTTATCATAATACACATAAAGTAACGTCTGTGCCTCACATAGCTACATTACAACTAGCAAAGTGTTTCGCTGAAATTACGGAAATGTGAAACTGTCTGTCTTAAAAATCTTAAAGCCCCAAAGCAGTTCAATACACTGGTGAAAGACCTTGTAGTTTAAATGTCTAACTGGCAGAGTTTGAAGCTAAACTGAAGTATCTAAAGAAGCTAACAGCTAAATTATGATGCAGGAAAAGCTGGAAGCTGAACGATGTTACTGTCAAAGTAATAGTAGTAAAACTATTTATTAGTAGTAGTAATAGCAGTAGTAACAAAACTTACTGAAGGATATTTTTTTGAAAGATATTGTCATGCAAAATATTGCATTCATTTTGTTGTGTGTACAAAAAGCCACCATATGTTTGTAATATCCTGATGGATGGATAGAAGTAGAGTTGCAGCTTTTTTTGTTTTTGTGATCAGATATTCATGTTTTTTAAAAGGTGACTTTAGTGATTTGGAAAATGCCTTCACTTGAGAAGTAAATGTTTACGTGATCTCTTTTTCTTTTTGTTTTTTTTTAAATATGGTATTTATTTTTTAATTTTAACATGCTCTGTGAATGCAATTGTGATGCATCAAAGATGCAAACTGGGGCTAGCTAATGTTTTACTAACTTCTTACTTAAAACAGTAAAATGAGGTGTTTAAATGAGTGTGTTGCTGGTTTCTCTCTCCATGCTCAGGTGCTCAAAGCCGGTGTGCGGTCTGGGATCCGGCTGCAGAGATCCAGTTCTGCTGCTGCCGGCGCTGAATCGTGTCACTCAGGCCCACCAGCACCCACTGGCTACTCATTTGGTGAGTATAGGATGTAGGAACCTTTCCATAATTTCAAAGGATACCTTCACATTTTGTCATACCTGCTTCAAAACAATGCTCACTTACCCATATCTACAACTAAATAACGATTGGTCGCTGTAATCGTTCCTCCTGTGTGTACTGGCTGTGAATAGATCCCTTCCTCAAGCGAGTGTGCACTGTCCTCATTCTGTGCAAAAATAAACTGAAGTTCATGTGAGGCTTCAGCAGTCAGACAGATCAAAGGCATATCAGTATCTTCCACAGTTAGGGGATTTAACCCAACAAAGACCATTTGTATTAAGTACCGTATTTTCCGCACTATAAGGCGCACTGGATTATAAGGCGCACCTTCAATGAATGGCCTATTTTAGAACTGTTTTTATATATAGGACGCACCGGATTATAAGGCGCATAGAATAGAAGCTACTACTGTCAAACGTTTGACAGGGGTTGCGTTATGCATCCACTAGATGGAGCTGTGCTAAAGGGAATGTCAACAAAACAGTCAGATAAATCATTCAGTCAAACTTTATTGATTTTTGATTTCATTCACAATACGGTAACTTAAACGTAGAGGGGAACTTTTCCCTGATTCAGTAAACACGTAAAAGAAACAGTCTGATACCACTAAATCAAACGTTAGTGCATTCACAATATAGTAACTCTCGAAATTGTTCAACTTACGTATAAAACATATAGAACTCAGCGTCGTAAGCGTGTCTCTTGAAAGGTGCCATTTTGGGGTCTTTATACACACAAGTGGTGTTGGACTAGGAGTAAGCACAGTACCGGTGTTTACCGCTATTACTTCGGCGACGCCCCTGACTACGGTAGCCGTAATGCTGCAAGCGGTGCGGCTTTGTAGTTTACCAGTCGCACTGAAACATTTTGACAGAGCGCCGTGTACAACCAGTATAGATCAACCAATTAACCAATTGATCCATATATAAGGCGCTCCGGATTACAAGGCGCACTGTCGTTTTTTGAGAAAATTAAAGGCTTTTAAGTGCGCCTTATAGTGCGGAAAATACGGTATATGTACTTTATTTAACTTGAGGGAATTCTGTACTAAGAGACTGTACCTTTGGAAAATATTAACTTGATTTTACTAATTTAAGACTGCTGAAGCCCCTGACTGAGGACTTTGTCCCCATCATTTAAATGTTAGATTGCCTAAGGAAGGGATTTCTTCATACCCAGTATGGAGTGAAGGAATGATTACGACCAATAGCTCTTTCAATGTACATATGGTCACGTGGCTATTGTTTTGAACTAGGGATGGGCGAGTGAATCCTTGCAAAGCTTTTGGGGCTTTCTTTGTTTGTGCCGAAAAGATTTGACGCTTAGGGGCTTCAAATTCGGTAAACACATTGACATCTGGTAGTCTGTAGAACTTTTGTTCCGATGTGCTGCATTACGTGTAGATGATATTGTGCAATATGTTCCAGTAAAATGGTAAATAAATGCATTGTCCAAAAAGCCTAGATTTGAAATATTTGGGTTGGTATATTGACACCAAATATAAATCCACCTTTTTGGTGTAGTTTAGTCCCAGTGTCCACTGTGGGCTCATAGGTTTTACCTTCATGGTTGATATTTATGTAACCTTTCATTTGATTGCAATGTGATAAAATTACATTATTACTTGGTATCAGGTTATGTCTTTCTCGTGTGCCATATTTCTCAGTGAAATTATTTTCTTGTCATTTTAACGTAGTTCAGCTGCTAAAATTTAAAAACTGTCAAACTGACTAAATGCATCAGTCACGTGGTATGCTTCACTTCACACAAGCTCCGACACCATGTAATGAAACATCGGGCTTCACGGGAGTCTATTTCAAATAGAGTTTGGAGAAAAAAAATGTGTTCCCGTGAGGTGAAGTTGCTTATCGTCTTCTTTCTGCTGCTTTGCCCAACAGAGCTGACTGATGAGCAAAAGGAGTTCCAACAGCTGGCGAGGAAGTTTGCTCGTGAAGAGATCGTCCCTGTTGCAGCTGCTTATGACAGAAGTGGTGAAGTGAGTGTAGCACACAGATTATAATGCATTCTGAAATACAGCTGGACTTGATAAGTTTACTGACCTAAAGGCTTTGAAATGTTATCGTACTACGGATTTTTTCTGTCTGTGTCAGTTAGTGACGTGTGCACGTGCCTCAATCTCCCCCAATAGGTCATAAGAAAAGTTCAGTATTATATAGCTTTTCAATGTTTATTTTTTAAATCTCTTATTTCTTTCTTTTAAAGAGTTTATAAAATGTTTTCTTACCTCTTAGCCTGTTGCTATGATGACAATGTCTCCCTAAACTGCGTCTCAGACAAAAAAAGTTTGCATAACTCTTAAACATTATTTATATGTCATTTTGCAGTATCCTATGCCCATCATCAAGAAAGCATGGGAGCTTGGTCTGATGAACGGTCACATTCCTCAGGACTATGGTATGTTACATTCTTGCTCGTTGTCTTTTTCAACATGGAGAAGATTAAACTTTAGCACAACGTCGTCCCGTGTGCCCCCTTTGTGGGAGGCCACGCAGATCCTGAAACATCTCGTCTCGCATCAATTTATAGATGACCTAAACAATAGCCACACTTAATAAATATATTTAGAATTTGCTGTGTGAAATTGCATCACAGCCTTAGTGTGTTAATTAAAACCCTTTGTTTGTGTGTTTGTATTCAGGTGGAATGGGCTTGTCAATCTTTGATAACTGCCTCGTCACAGAAGAGTTGGCTTATGGCTGCACCGGAGTCCAGACTGCCATTGAGGCCAACTCTCTGGGAGTAAGTTGTCGTCTATCAGGGTTGCTAGCGTTTCATTTGCTTTTCACCAGTTTATTTATTATTTCTTCCCCCCTGCTGACTCCTATGCAAAGGAAGCACACATTTGCAAATTATAGGTCCACTCATCTGTGTTGAGTCTTGTATAATGTGGCTGTTTTTTAATCCACAAATGTCACAGTATATACGGAACAATTAAAGTCACTTGTTGGGATCAAACATAACGTGCTCCATCAAACCTGTGCTGTGCATGCTGCTGCTGCTATGCAGTAGTGTTCAAAGGCATCTTAGATTTCCATTGAGTCAGGGAGGAGTGATTTTTTAAGGTTGCTCACTGACCATGTTATTTCATTACACGGGGTCATGCATTGGGGTTAATAGCACCGTGTCTACTGAGGATTATAGATATCATTTTCTACAGTCAATATTTCCAGAATGTGCATCAGGCATAACCGTGATCAATAACAGTGGTTGTAGCTCAGTTAATAAGTTATTTTTGTTTCTCCCACATAGCAAATGCCTGTTATTTTAGCTGGCAGTGAGGCACAGAAGGCTAAATACCTGGGCAGGATGACTGAGGAGCCTCTTATGTGTGTAAGTATTTAATAAATGGTGGAAATTAACAATAAGCACATTTACTCAAGGAGGTACTTTACTCGAGTATATCTTAATGATCTTGCTTGCTTTCATCTAATACTTTTACCAAAGACTGCATTACAAGTTTAATGCCACCAAGACAAGTACTGTATGTTGTAATAGGCTTAATGTATTGTATACATATGATGTTTTACTTCCCTGGCATGCGTACCTGGTGTTTGAAATCCAGTTAATTGCGTCATGACATGTTAAATAGTAGCGCTGCAGTCACTAGTAGAGTTATTGATTATTCACATGAGTCAACGACTATTTTCGGCAGGCCTACTGCGTGACGGAGCCGGGGGCGGGCTCTGATGTGGCCGGCCTCAAGACCCGAGCTGTGAAGATGGGCGACGAGTATGTTGTTAACGGGCAGAAGATGTGGATCACCAATGGCGGGAAAGCTAACTGGTGTGTACTCACTACCATTTCTCTTATTGTACTCTAACAATACATACTCGGTTATGTGTGAAATTCACCTTATAACCTTCATGAAGGAAGAATGCAGGACTTTTGTATTAGACTGCATTAGTTTTAGCCAGGCGTACCTAATAAACTGGACACTGAGTTTGTGTATCTACATATTCTTAAAGGAAATTAATACATAAACATCTGTTCGTTGCTCTGAAGGTTATCTGAACCTTTTTGATGTTCCTAGGTACTTCCTCCTGGCTCGCACTAACGCAGATCCTAAATGTTCAACCGGCAAGGCTTTTACTGGCTTCATTGTGGATGCCGACACTCCAGGAATTCTAATAGGAAGAAAGGTACGATGAGGCTAAATAGTTTTGTCCTCTAACACATCAGGTGTTAGTATCATCAAGTGGTAGTATTAAGATCAGAGGTTAGAAACATTGTAACAAAGGTGGGACTGTAGTTTCGTAAGCGTATATATGTCGTTACACATGTTATTACATGTGTGCGCCCAACATCTACAATAATGAAATATGTGTGTAGGTAACAGTATAGATAGCTGCCATTTCACAATTGATAAGTAAAAAGTCACCTATCCATGAGATTCCAACAACACAGAGTGCATTATAAACTCTACTTTCAGATTAGTGCTGTATAAATCATTATGAGATTATAATTGACGGGGAAACTGTGTGTGGGATTCTGTTTTCCAGTCAGGGTTGTCCAATAATGACCTCTGATGTGTGCACCACTAGATACATGTTTGTTTTGTGCTCGTAGGAGATGAACATGGGCCAGAGGTGCTCTGATACCAGAGGCATCACCTTTGAGGATGTGAGGATACCGAAGGAAAACGTCCTGATTGGAGAGGGATCTGGCTTCAAGATTGCCATGGGTGCTTTTGACAACACCAGGCCACCGGTAAGTCTTCCATCTGTAGCACCATGTATCTTATCCTAAGATGGCTAACTATAAAATAAGGATAAACTTTAGTCAACAGTGTATTCTAGAAGCAGACAAGGCAACCTTTGGATGTGTGTGGACATGTGAAAATGAGTTTAAACTGATGTGCGCCCATTTTCTTTCCATTAAAAAAATCTGTAAAATACAAAAATCAATGTTTCTTATCTACAGATTAACAACTAGTGCGCCTTTACATCGCATCTGACGTCACCAAATTAAAGGGCATTTTACCTACATCTCCCAATATCTGATGTTCTATTGCTACAACCAAACTAATTCACGCTTTTAAACATTGCAAATGAAACGCCCATGATTAATTGTATTGGTCACTATTGAAGATTTGTGTCTACGATGTTACTAATGTAATTAATGCACTGCAGGTGGCAGCAGGAGCAACAGGCCTGGCACAGAGGGCCCTTGAAGAAGCTACCAATTACGCACTACAGAGGAAGACCTTTGGCGTAGCTATTGCTGAGGTTTGTTTGCTTATTTCTTTTATCAGCAGAAAAACGCGTGTTCCCTCACAGCCTTTATATGCTGGTGTATATGCACTTTGAGTTCACTGAATTACAGACTTGACTGTAGGTTGTATAGTGGCAATACTGTCATAACTGGTGACAACTCACTTGTACAGTGTTTTTAAGTGCGTCTTCCTGTCTCACAGCACCAGGCCGTGGCCTTCCTCCTGGCTGAGATGGCCATGAAGGTGGAGCTGGCCAGGATGGCGTACCAGCGCTCAGCCTGGGAAGTGGACCAGGGCCGCAAAAACACCTATTACGCCTCCATCGCCAAAGCATTCGCTGGAGACATCGCCAATCAGGTGGCCTCTGATGCCGTTCAGGTATTCGGAGGCAACGGCTTCAACAGCGAATACCCGGTGGAGAAGCTGATGAGAGACGCCAAGATCTACCAGGTGGGTGGTGATGTCGTGCACCTGATCTCTGCTAACAGAGATTTGGTCAAAACTTCATTTTCTTGATGTTTTTTATGTCCTTCGTAGATCTACGAGGGCACAGCTCAAATCCAAAGACTCATTATTGCCCGAGAGCACCTGGGAAGATACAAGAAATGAACACCTGACTCGTCCTCATTCAAATGTACATTGTTTTAACTTTAACTCTGCTTACATAGATGTAAAATATTGTTTGGTTAGAAATAGTAAAGAATATTCTATTTCTATGATTGTTTGCCTTATCAGCATTCAGACTTGCTGTTTTCGATCTGATGCAGACCCTGAATTGGTCGACGGATTTCTAATCGGAACATCAACCAGACCTATCGCATCTAGAAAAAGGGTTTTCTGAATGCCGCTCAGAACGGTGGCCTTATTTAATGACTTGTTGAGTTGAGGATCACCACATTCAGGCAAAAGATCACATGACTGTGTCCTGTCAGGCTGCACCATCTGCAGATTGTAAATATTTGCTGCCAGGCACAAACATGGACATTAATCTGTTAAATTGTTGATATGTGATACAACAGTTTGGTGTCTGTTTGATGGGGAAATTGATAATCATAAACTAAGCAGAACCAATTAAATCTACGTCTGTACAGATCTATTTCCCACCAGAATGTGTTAGAAACAGAGCAATGTGTGTAATGATTTGTTGAACAACTGTAAAAATGCATGTTTTGTGTCTGATTTAGAAAATAAAGACCTTAACAACAGTTCTTTGTTCTAGATAGTGATTTGCATCTACCGTCTCCTGGTGGGATTAGTCAAATGTATTTTATGTTAATTAAACATAATCTCATGTTGCCTAAATTCAACCAATTATCTGTCATTACAGCCTCGTCTATATTCAAGGATCATTTATAGTCAATTTGTAACACAAGGATGCACAACGAAATTCAGTAGTAGCCCATTTTCAACACAAACGCATGCAAAAAGACATAGTACATTACTGTAGTGCATTTATGAATTTGCATCACAAGGAATGTAAACGGCAGCAACAAAAAGGATTCTCTGAAAAACATTGTCCATCAACTTTGACTGTTTGAGCACCAAGCAGCAGCAGCAGCAGCATCATATAAACGCATAACCCACCAGAGTCCTGCAGTCTGTCCTCCCGTCAAGTGCCCGCACTCATGCAACCGTGGTGTTTGTTTATAGCCTAATATTTGCTTTTTACTTCTGCTGATTGCATTCACACTTGTGGTGCTCATTTGTGAAGATTATCCTGCTGAACAAAACGTGTAAATATAATTGTGTGTTTGCTGAAGAGCTTATTTTCTGCAATAACCCAAAATCTCGTTGGCTTTATGTCAAGGGCCGATGCTAACTTCCAGACATCACAGGGCAGTCTATGGTTTCAACATTGCATTTGTTTAGAACAACACAGAAGCGCCCAGACATGCATCTCTTAAGACAGACACTATAGTCATTCTGTACAATCCCTCTGAGAGATAAGATCCCCGGACTCAATGTTGCCATAGACACAATAGCTGGCCTCCCACACACGGCTTGTAAAATCTCAATGGTGCCATCATCCCCCCCATAGGGCTCACTCATCCGAGGGTGTGGCAAATCCAACGCACCTGAGGCTGTCGGGTTGCTCAAGCTTCCAACGAGTCCGCAACAACTTCAGTCCCCAAATGGAGAACTAACTGAGATCACTAACATGATGGAACATAGATATATTATAGGAGGAGCTTCTGTTCGATATAACTCAAGGTAGAGATGGATGAGGAGCTCCTGCAGTAATTAAAAGACTGGATATCATACAAGCTAAAGCCCTGAGAATATGTAGTGGGGTGTTGCGCAATACTCCAATATTTATCTTATTGACAGAATTGTTGTAAAATCTAGTGTAAGTAAAATCTAGCTTGAAGGAAATTTAAATTGTATTTGGGTACAGAAGGGAACAAGGAAGTAGATTACTTGGCAAAGAATGCTGCTATTGTGGAAGAAATAGAAATTGCCCTACAATACGGACTATCATAATAGTCCGTATTGTAATACAAATCTAAAATCTAAATTACTGTTAAGCGGATATTTTTCCAAACAGTAGAGGGCAGCAATACGCCGTGCCGCCTCTGGTCTGCCGAAACCAACGAAGAAGAAGAAGAAGCCTGATCATGCGAACACTTCCAGAATGGTAACCGGTGTCATGTTGTGAATGTTATAGTTAGTCAGTGTAGTTTAAGATAACATTATAGCCGAAGTAGATGGGCATGCCCACTTGTCTCCATTCTATCCAACGTTAGCGCCACAGTTGACCGTTATTGTGTGAAAGCAGCTAATCACAGTAAAGTCGCTAAAATGTAGCTAGCATCAGTGCTAGCATGTAGCTCGATGATAGCACAGTCTGCAAACAACTCGTCCTTTAGCTAACGTTACATTACCGGTTTACTCAGTATCGGGTTTGACAGCGACATTAGGGGGGTTGTAATTACATCAAATTGAAACAAGGCCAGTTAGAATTAGTTTTTATGTTTTAAATATGTTGATGTCTTTACTGTCAGGGTACCCAAGTGAAAGATGTCATCATTAAGCCTGACGCTCCCAGCACTCTGCTGCTGGACAAACATGCAGACTACATCGCTGCCTACGGCTCCAAAAAGGATGACTATGTGAGTAAACATCCATCCAATGGGGGTTATATTTGGTTGTTTTTCTCAACTTTCTACTTACTTCAGTGTACTTTTTCTCTGGGAATGTTTTCAATGTCACCCAAAAACAAAAGTCCAATGCATGCTCTCTTCTGACAAAGTAGTTCTGTTTTCCAACAACACCACTAGTTTTTTTTATAATAACAAAACAAAACAATCCAAGGTAATGCATAGTGGTTAGATGACAGAAGTTACCTCGTAAGTCTGTATTAGCAGTGGAATTAAACTTTTTAGGAGTAAGTATAGAAGTAATAGGCCATTTCCTCTGGTTAACAAACTTTAAAAGTACATTTTCTTTCATGCTATCTGTGTCTGTGTCTGTGGCTTTTACTCTGTTAATCAAACCTCTACTGAATAAACAAGAGGAAACCCTGTTTCCATCGGCTGTACAGTAAAAACAGTAACAACGTCCTGCTCTCCTGTTCATTCACGGCCTGTTTGTGTTTGTCCAGGAGTACACGCTGTCCGAGTACCTGAGGATGAGCGGCATCTACTGGGGGCTGACTGTGATGGACCTGATGGGGCAGCTGCCCCGGATGAACCGGCAGGAGATCATAGACTTCATCAAAGCCTGTCAGCACGAGTGTGGAGGCGTCAGCGCCAGCATCGGACACGACCCCCACCTGCTGTACACCCTCAGTGCCGTCCAGGTGACTCCATGAAATCTGACTGATTGACGGACTTGTTCTTGTTTTCTCATCAACATTCATGCCGCGGGAGGTCGGAATTGTTGCCAACTTGAAAGAGAAGAATACTTTGCTTTGATTTGAGCTCAAGCAGCCTCATTATCTGTTGTTTTTTAAGATTGTTAAAGTGGTTATTTTGATTGAACTCCCAGCAAAACTTCTCAATTTGTCTGTTATCTTCCGTTTTGTCTTATCTTGTTTTTGACTTTTTATTTTTGGTTTAATCATTTCTTTTGTTGTTTTCTTCCTCAGATCCTTTGCTTGTATGATAATGTGGATGCGCTTGATGTGGACAAAGTGGTGGAGTACATTAAAGGGCTGCAGCAGGAAGATGGCTCATTTGCAGGGGACAAATGGGGTGAGCACTCCTCAAATGGGGAGAAAAAAAAGGAGCGAATGAAAATCACACGAAAACTTTAGTTGTCACAAGTTGACTTCTTTTCAAATATATTTGTACAAATATACGACTTAAATAATTGCTGTCATGTTGGGCTTGCAGCTGAAATCTCAGTAAAACAATAAAGTAGTTCTCATTTATTCAGATTAGAGTTTGCTTTAAATATAGTATTTAAATACTAGTATAATGTTATTACAATGCTTTGTTTTTACAGGAGAAATAGACACAAGATTTTCCTTCTGTGCTGTTGCTACGCTTGCACTACTGGTATGTATGTCATGTAGAGTTTTTCTCAAGTATTTCTCTTTTCTCAACACTGTCACACTTTGTAATCTGAAGATGACTCTCGGTCCTCTCCTTCTTCCAAGGGCAAGATGGACTCAATAAACGTCGACAAAGCGGTCGAGTTTGTCTTGTCCTGTATGAACTTTGACGGAGGTTTTGGCTGCAGACCTGGTTCAGAGTCTCATGCTGGTCAGGTGAGTCCACCTAAGTACTCGTGTCGTGCAACACAGTTTTCTTTCATCTCTTTTTAAACAAAAGCAGCCACATCTGGAGATCTAACTTGTAGAAAGGGTGTGTGAAATTGCGGCTGTGGGCGGGTCTTGTGGAACAGAGTTTGAAAACTGAGAGACTGTCAATCCCCCGACACTAATGGAATGAAATGTTCACACCCTGAAAGGTGACTGGTGTTACATTCACACTCCTCTTGGGCTGTGACATGTGTGAAAGTCCTTCTCAAATATAATCTCTGGTCTTTTTCCCTTCTGTCTGTCAGATATACTGCTGCTCTGGCTTCCTGTCGCTCACCGGTCAGCTGCACCAGGTGAACGCTGACCTGCTGGGCTGGTGGCTCTGCGAGAGGCAGCTGCCGTCCGGAGGCCTCAATGGACGACCGGAGAAGGTTTGCGCTCTCCAGACGCTTTACTGGGAAATCAAATGCCTCCTCCTTGTCATTTTTAAACTTTGATCAAATCAGAATAATTCTGGAAGTAGCTCTGCTAATTCGTATTTCTTCTTCTCGTTCAGCTTCCAGATGTGTGCTACTCGTGGTGGGTTTTAGCATCGCTGAAAATCATTGGTAGGATCCACTGGGTCGACAAGGCCAAGCTGCGATCCTTTATTCTAGCTTGTCAAGATGAGGAGACCGGAGGTTTTGCCGACAGACCGGGGGACATGGTGAGCCGTCAAACACGTCTAACGGAAATGGGAAACGTGTTAGACTTGTCTTTTCATAAAAATCCTGTCTCCTCTTTCATCTCATGTAAGCGTTGTCTGCACCTCCATGATCCCATCCTTTGTCTCTCTGTCTCATATGAGGTGTGAGATGAAAGCTATCTTGCAGTAGATTCACGGGGAACTTATTAAGTACAAGGAGGTTTTAGATCAGATTAGACGAGACTACATAGAACTTTATTGTCATTGGACAGAGTGCAGGTACTGAGACAACGAAATGCAGTTTAGCATCTAGCCAGAAGTGCAAAACACAGTAAAGTGCAGAGTATATAGATTTGATACGGTTATTCGGTCTACAATATGATGCACATCCTCATATTTTCGCATTGTTTAAAACTGTGCTTGGATGTTATGTTACGGTGTGTCATTACAACCCCAGATAATGGAGGAGGACATGCAACTCCTCTTTATATTTGTGTCAATAGTTGTTATTGAGGCTCCCTCCTTCTCTGCAGGTGGATCCTTTCCACACTCTGTTCGGAGTGGCAGGGCTCTCCCTCCTCGGAGACGAACAGATCAAGCCAGTTAATCCCGTCCTCTGCATGCCCGAGGATGTCCTTCAGAGGATCGACCTGCAGCCTGACCTCCTCAGCTAGCCCTCTGTCATCACCATCACCACCCCACACACACACACACACACACACACACACACACACACACACACACACACACACACACACTCTCATACACAGCTGCCCTGCTGAACAACCCCACTACCACGGCTGGATGTCGGGAGCAGAGAGAGGAGCGCCACACATCTTAGTGTTAGCTGAAGTCTACGGACACATTCCAGATGCAGGATTTGGTCTGTGCTCACTAAGGACAAAAGGAGTCGGGCACAGTTCTGACTCGGTTCCTCCGAGTCTGTCTTTACACCCTCAGCCACTCGTTATGTTATCACGTCACTTTTGTTGGTTTTACTGCAAGAGATGTTTTGAAGTGCGACCTTCTTTACAAAACCCTGAAATTCATTAGACAACATTACTTAGCCTTTTGACTTACTCACCGTGTCCATGACTGTTTGCAAACTGTTTTGTAAGTCTTTATGGCTCTTATCAGATAGGTGGGATTTTTTTTAATTGTACAATTGGACAAGCATGAGCATGTTTGCTCTGTGATTTCAATGTTTTTGGGGCCTAAGACACTTGACTGGTTTTAAGACACCACATCTTTTGTTTTTTTTCGTTTTTGTTGGCGAGTTTTGCCTTTTTCACGCACCGACTGTTTCAAATAGAATAACTTCCCTGTTTGAAAAGTGAGTGAAGGGCGAGCTTTCCTCGTCCTGTTTAAACTAGAGCCATCGTACCACTGTGCTAAAGGGTTAGAACTGGAGATGCAACACATGACTTGTTGCAAACAAAGATAGTTTTGTTAAAATGACTTCAGTTTACAGTCGAGGCAGAAAATGTTTTTAGCAGGAATTGGTTTACGGGGCGGTGTTTTTGTTTGTGAGACCCAGATGTTAAACACATGGGGGCATCGTCGTCTCTGGTCAAGTATATTTAACGCCTTATCCACAGTCTCAGCTACACTATTTATTTAAATCCCTGTTACTCAGCTGTGTTTTGTTACGCAGCTGTGGGCAAAGGGTTTAGATCCCCCC